GTCGGTCGGTCGGGCGGTCGGTCGGTCGGGCGGCCGGGCGGGCGGGCCATCGGTCGGTCGGTCGGTCGGTCGGTCGGGCGGCCGGGCGGTCGGTCGGTTGGACGGTCGGGTGGTCGGACGGTCGGTCGGTCGTCGTAGAAAACTCGTAAAGGGAAGGAAAGGGAACGGATGTTAAACAGATGTAAGCGGATGTAAGAGAAGATGTAAGTGCGGATGTAAGGGCGGATGTAAGGGCGGAAGGTGTTAACGTTAACGCTAAGATAACACTCACGATTAATGTCATGACTAATATTATTTCTGACGCTTTTTTTCTCTAGGGCATCAGTTACTTGCTGCTACCAGCTCGGTTCCAGCGGGGTTCAAGATCATTACTTTCGGATCGTCGTATTTCTGGAACGACGAATGGCCGATTCTAAACCAAACCAAACAATTCAGCCACTGTCCAACCCGCGCCTGCTTCATCTTCCCGCAATCGTACTACTACGAGCATCAATGGCTGCGTGACACCGCAGATGCCGTCGTCTTTCATCCAAGAGATCCGTTACTCTCGCAAAAACTTCATTGGCTGTCCGGTAGGGCGCGCCCGCAGCGGCAGCGATGGATCACGCACATACATGAGTCTCCCTTGAACATCGATGGAGCGACGTCACGACTTCGTCTCGTGTGCAACTGGACGATGAGTTACCGTAGCGATGCGGATATCTACGCTCCGTACGGACAATTCTACTTCAACGCAAATGCGTCATCGTCTTCAGTAGACAGTGTTAGACCAGGTCAGTGTGTGTTATTAGACCAGGTCAGTGTGTGTTATTAGACTAGGCAAGTGTGTGTTATTAGACCAGGTCAGTGTGTGTTATTAGACTAGGCAAGTGTGTGTTATTAGACCAGGTCAGTGTGTGTTATTAGACTAGGTCAGTGTGTGTTATTAGACCAGGTCAGTGTGTGTTATTAGACCAGGTCAGTGTGTGTTATTAGACCAGGTCAGTGTGTGTTATTAGACCAGGTCAGTGTGCGTCATTAGACCAGGTCAGTGTGCGTTATTAGACCAGGTTTAGCAATTGGGGCAGCAAAATTAAAAAATAAGCTTAGCTAATAATCGTAAATAACTCTAACGTAATTTTCTTGGCCACTTATCCGTGAAAGCTTTGTCTCAGACCCACCCCTACCACACTATGGACGTCGATCAAGAGCTGCGCGCCCGTCGCTCATCATTCCACAGTTGAGTCATGAGATTGTGTCCCCCCCGCCCCTAGGAATTTGCTCAGCCTGCGATCCTAGTTACGCGTGCATGCACTACCATCATGAACGTATCTTCCCTCGGTGCATGTAGATCTACTACTATACAACAGTATATCCTCCCCTCTTGCAGACAGAGATTATGGCGATGGAAAGACGGGCTTCGTCGCAATCGTGGTTAGCCATTGCATCACGCCCAACAGACGCGAGCTGTACTGGGAGACGCTGAGTAAATATGTACCGGTAGACGTCTACGGTCTGTGCAGGTCAGAGAATTTAATAATGTGCTCCTATAATATCTATATTAATAATTATATTATATCCTATATATTCTATATTATATATATATAATATATATAATATATTAAATCCTTAATATATATTATGTCTCACTCTATAACTGACCATGGGCGTTTTGATATTTGTCTTTGCATTGCATTCTTCGCATGTCGATATAGTGTGAGATTCTATTGCTTCTCGTTGACTCGTTGTCGTGTTGTATTACAGTAAGTCGAACAGTTCGTGCACCGGTCCGCAAGACCATCCATCTTGCATGGAGGACATCGTGAAACGCTACAAGTTCTATCTCGCCTTCGAGAACAGCAACTGCAGGGAGTACATAACTGAAAAGTTCTGGCGCAATGCGCTCGAGTGGGACGTCGTTCCCATAGTGAGAGGAGCACCGAGGACAGACTACGAACGGTCGGCTCCTCCTGGCTCCTTCATCCACGTCAACGATTTCAGTTCCGTTGAGAAGCTGGCTGAGTATTTACAAGAGTTGAACGTCGACAGTGAGGCCTACAATAAATACTTTAGATGGAAGCAGCTAGGCTGGATTTCGAATAACATCAGTGCGTCATTCTGCAGATTGTGTGAGGCACTGCACGATGTGACTAGACCCGTGAAAAGTTATGGGTATCTTAACCAATGGTGGAACGAAAGTGACTGTTTGGAACAGCGAGGTTTTACGAGTGTAGGATGATATACCTACTAATTTACGATAAACCTGTGCTATCACTTTCTCAACGCAAACAGGTGTTGTACTGCAATGGAATCTGAGTATGGAATATAGAACGCACAGCATTTTATTATTTGTACAATATAATTCTCTGTATGAAACAAATATGACTGGAATTTTTTACTACAATCCAAAACCGTGTTTGTAAGGCATTTGTCTCTGGAAAAGAGTACACATAATAAGGTAATGCGACTATTGGAACATCGCTGAATAGAAAATAAGGTACACCAATTATCCCCAAGTATAAAGCATTCAACCTCGATATGTTCTATGGCGAGAACATACACTCGTGTACTTCATGACTTGGCTAACGACGTCGTCTTTCGGTATAAACGAACCTCGACGCTGCCAACTTCTTCAGACAACTTTGCTCACCGATAACAGTCACCTTCCACTTCATCCAAACCACATGTGTTGTGTTGCTGGTGGTGCCATCACGCATTATCCTTGTCCGACGAGAGTACCTGTATATCCATTGGGCGTATTTTATATCCTATATCGTATATATATATATATATATATATTGTATATCTTATAGTTGTCTGAGGGTAAAGGATGCTAAGGTAATAATGGGTTGCTGATTCAGTTAGAACAAGATGGCAGCAGTGGTGCAGACAGTCGTACATATAGACCTGTATATTCATTGGGCGTATTTTCTATTCTATATTGTATATATATATTTATTTTATATAATATAGTTGTCTGAGGGCAAGCGATGCTAAGGTAATGATGGATTGTTCATTCAGTTAGAACAAGAGAGCAGCAGTGGTGCGGACATTCGTTCTAATATCGACGACGAACAATACGATTCTTTTTTTAAATGTTTTATTGCAAACAGATAGTAAATATTGCACATGTGAAAGATTTAACAATCAGTATAACAGGAGTATTATGCCCTTAAAAGTTTCAAAAAGTCTAGATAACCGCTAACGTCGTAGCTTTCATATTTCGAATGCAACAGTCTCCCCCGACTGGCCAAGCAACGGTATAAACTTTATATTAAATTTTATTAAAACTTTAGGTTATCATTTTTGATTCGCATTCGAACGTCACGTAGACCGCGAATATTGCAGTTGATTTATGAGGAGACTCACCGCTCCTCAATATGTATATATATATATATATATATATATATAATAGGTTGCTCGGGAGTTTTGGCCAGTCGTGCGCATATATAAGTGTGATTACTGGGGGGCAAAACAGGAACCCATTATGTTGGAATGTATCACTCGGCTTTTTCAACATGACTAGAAGGGTAGACGAGCCTCTCTACTGCGTCGACGTTGTCAAGACGACGGCTCGTAACGATGACGTCATCACGACGTCACAGACGGCAACTCGTAACGGTGACGTCATCATGACGTCACAGACGCCGGTCGGTAAACTACCAACTTCAGAATGACATCACGAACGGCGGTTTGCGACGATGACGTCATCATGACGTCACACATGTGGCGGCTCGTTGACAGCACATCATCATGACGTCACATCTGGCGAATCTAATGGCATAGTAGTTGTTGGGTGAAGCGAGCCGCAGGGTGGCGCTCTCAGAGGAGCACCCTCGCACATGCAGGGAGATGTTTTTATTGGCATCTGGCGCACTGGCTCGTTCACGACTATCACATCTTACGTCGTAGTCTGAGATCATCCCGGGGTGTGGCAGGCGCGCGGGAAAAACACCGGACGCACACCGTAACCACAAGCGCTGCACGGGCGACATTCAAGATGGTCGCCGGGGCTCAGCGACTAGTAAAACGTGGCGCGGAATCTCGTCAAGGAATGTATGTGTCGTTTATTTAGGGCGCTAGACGTCCGATTTTGTGTGTTATCAATAATATTTATATCTCGGTGGGGTATATAACGTACGTTGTCCGGCTGGGTGGCCTGTCCAAGTGAAATAATCACCGATATTCCCAATCTGGACAACAATCAAACTTTCTGTCGATGACGTCGAACACAAAGCGTAATCACGTGACATACCCTCGCTCGATGGAATTTCTTGATAATCGATATCGCACGGCGCACGCGCAGCACAGTATCGCATTACATGCCCCCTGGTGGCGTGTCACGCAACCTATGTCAGTCAGCAATTTCCGTCAGTAACAGAAAGCTACTAAATCTTTTTTCGGGCAAGTTTTTTTTTCGTTTTCTTCACATCATTAGACCACCCCGCCAGCCGACAGGACGTAACATTTTTTACGGGGAGTGACGCCCCCTACCTCGATCAGGGACAAACACAGACACGTGGTGGGCCAGGAGGGCCTAACCATTTGCTCACCGTGGGGGTAGGGTGTGCGCTGGAGTTACGATTAGAGGAGTTAGAGTGACGACATAGCTTTCCCTCCTTTACGTTCCGCAGTCTATCGTTTAGCAACGTAGTTACCTAACCTTATAGTGCTAGCGCTAGTCTTAGGGTCCTCGATGAACGACTGATCGACCCTTAATTACTCCGCTTACATTACTAACTTACATTCGCAGCTCTTTTATAGATTTAGGTCGTATCCCCACGTGAGGACACTGCCCCTTTGGAAGAGTTCGATTAGTTGAAGGCACAATGCAACCGCTGCTGAAAGAAGCTACACTCAAAACGAGCCCAATACTCTTCCCTTCCTTCTCTCTACGGCTCCGTCTTCCCCTCTCACCGCACCCGTGCCGTGTCAAACCCGCACGTCGAAAAAACGACCTTTGTGTCCCACCCGTTCGCCGGTGTTTCCCATAATCGCCACGCGAGGGCGCTGCGGTCACGGCTTCCCGTTGGGGTGCGGAAGTAGACAGTTGCAGGCGATATTCGCGCCACCTAGTGGTAATCGCGAAGGTGCCAGATTTGGTGTGTGTTGGTGTGGGGACGTGAGAGGGGTCTCGGGAGTGGTCGTTGGCGGTTGGGGTTGGAGGAAAAATGAGCATGCAATTGACACGCGAAAACCAGTAAAGAATTTAGTTAAAATTAAGCAGACGCCGCAACTGAAATAACCGTAAACGTGTTGTTAGTGCAAATATAGCAGCGATAGGGAGCGCATGACGTCAGCTAAATATGCAGAAGATCCAGAGGAAGAGGGAAAAGGGAAGGTAGCAGGATAAGGAGGAGAGGGAGGAGGAAGAGTGAAAGGAGGAGGAGGATGAGGAGAAGGAGGAGGAGGAGGAGAATGAGAAGGAGGAGGAGGATAAGGCGGAGGAGGAGGAGGAAAAAGAGAAGGTGGCAGGATGAGGAGGAGAGGGAGGAGGAAGAGGAGGAGGAGGAGGAGAATAGCAAGCGTGGGAGTAGCAGGCCTTGTGAAGCTGTGCTGAAACGGGCGAGAACGATAGCGCTGTGATTTTGCAAGCAAGACAATAAACAAACCAATGATTTCTCCTTCACTCACTCTCGTCCTCTCACACGCACTCGTAAACCTTCTCCTCCTCCTCTGCTGTCTCTCATACACAATCTCCTCATCTCCCTTCTCTCCTCTGGCTTCCTTCTCCACTCTCCCTATTTAGCACTCTTTCTCCTCATCTCTCGCTCAACCTAACCCTCTCTCTCGCTCCATCCATCCATCCACTCGCGAACGTGTTCAAACAAAAAGTAAGAGTAAAACGAAAAAACCAAATGTAAAAAACACAACAAAATTCGTGGTGAGGAAAGAAATAATTTTTAATGACATCGAAAACAACACCAGCGCCGGCTAGCGAGCGCGACGCGAATTAATCGTCGTAATAAATATCGTACAGCTAAGGAATTCTCACACCGACAAATAATAAATAAACAAGGATGCTGCCGCTACACGAGACACCTGCGTACGATGGACCGCCCCCTCTTGCATCAATGTGACAGCGGTCGTGTGACAGTGTGACAGTGACCGTGTGACAGTGTGACAGCGGTCGTGTGACAGTGTGACAGTGACCGTGTGACAGTGTCACAGCGGTCGTGTGACAGTGTGACAGTGACCGTGTGACAGTGTCACAGCGGTCGTGTGACAGTGTGACAGTGACCGTGTGACAGTGTGACAGCGGTCGTGTGACAGTGGGGTAAGCAGTAGTAGTTAGGGTCACCACGCTGTCTTGTGTTAAGTTCTAACCACCGTGTAGTAACACTGAGGCCATCCCACTCCCTAACGCAAGCTAAGTCCACCGAGGGCACTCCCTTAGTCATAGGACGCTACCCCCTTAGTTGTAAGAAGCCACCCCCTTAGTCATAAGAGGCCCTGCCTAGCAAGCTCAAACTGATACCAACATCACTGATCAAGTACCACTCTGAGCACACTCCTGCTCCTCCCCCGCACTTACGCACTCGGCTGCGATCAGGGGGGTCTGGCTAGATCCATCCCCTACCACCCTGTCCCACAGTGCCAGATAGTATAGATCAGGAGAACTCGTTCAACGCTATCAAATGTTTTACACCCGATGTCATGAGTTACGATAGATAATCTAAGAGCAGAGCCCTCTGGTGGAAATCAGGGGGGGGGAGGGTCTGGCTTTCCCTGCGGACTCCACCCCACATTGTCCCCGCAGTGCCAGATAGGATTGCATCAGGAGAACTCCCTCAACGATGTCTCATGTATAAACCCGATGTTATGAGTTACGATAAATAACCTAAGAGCAGAGCCCTCTGGTGGAGATCAGCGTGCGTGGAAGGAGGGAGGGGGGGGGACAACTGGCGCAGGCGACCTCTAACCGCCTCACCCTGCAGCGTGAAAAAAACGTGAGAACGAGTCGCAGCGCCGCCCTGGTGGCGCGACCGGTACTTACAGGGACATCCGGTCGTTCACGGCGCCTCGTCTCCTAATTGCAACGGCCGCAGGGGGAGCTGCTAAAAATCGAAAACAAGAGCACGTCTGCGCATCGATGAGTAGCACGCACGAACATCCTCTCCTCCATTCCTGTAGGTGGCGCCACATGTTAGTCGTCTCGCAGAAATATAACCGATGACGTCATTGCTACGACCGCTGGTACCTCTCCCCACCCACAAGACTTTCCAACGGAAACTCTGGCCTCTTGGCTGCTACGAAGACCTCTATAGTTGGCGTTCTTACCAGTAGATGGCGGTGCCCTTGCTCTGCAGGGGGATCGATGTGTTGAACTAACGAGGTGTCGGTGATATCATCCACGCGACGCGCGCGCCCTCTACTGAGCTCCGGCCGCGAACAGCTGCGAACGTTTGGAATCATATCTGAAAGCTAACTTTCGATAACCTAACACTTAAAGCATGACAAAACTTTTCTCTCTCTCTCGCGCACATACACACACGCGCACACAATCACTATACAACCCCTCTCTCTTTCCCTCTCCTTCGATGTCCCCTCTCGATCGATAGAATAAAGAATTACTACACCACATAGGAATAAATAAATTATGGTCGCGTCGTACGGCAAGCGCGCTTCGATCAATCGAACAAACAAAATCTCCGCCCAGAAACTATACGGGAGATGAGTCATACCTAACGAAGTAATACACAAACAACACCATACACGCGAATAAACACAACAGTAAGTAAATCCAGTGTTCCGTCTACGGCAGAGCACGCACGCCTGCCGCTGCTGCTGCTGCTGCTGCTGGTACTGGCTGCGAGGGACCGGGTGTCTATGTGGGAGACATATTGATTGTGATTTATTGGGGGGATCCGAGGAAGCATTGCCTGCTTTTATTGGAGGGAGGGGACTTGGTTAGCGTTGCGAACCCCCTCCCTCTACCAACGGGTACCGTGACAATCGTTAACGCAGGGCAATCATTCAATAAGATAGGTTTTGACTCGTCTTGCATAGGCTTTGTTTAACTGGCTTTCGTAGATACCCAGGCCGCACGCGCGATTGTAGAAAACAATGAAAATACGACTAAAACGAACACGTTCGAAATAGGAAAGGGTTCACCCTTTGTCGTTTTGCGCGGCATATCCCGTTTCTCCTTCTTCTCCATCCTCCCCTCTATCCCTCTCTCCATCTTCCTCTCTATCCCTCTCTCTATCCACTCTCTCTCTCGTTTGCCATCTTCCTACACAACTGCAAAGTTCAAAGATTTCCATCGCATTCTGTGGATATCGCACATCAGCTGCGCTAACACTTGCCTGTCAACGGCACTCGCGCTGAGGCAAGGCAACTTACGTACCGTTGCCAGCGGCAGGCAACTTACGGGCAACGTGGCCCACAGACACGCATGCACCGTGCACACACACTCAGCGCAGAAACGCAACGTGTCCGACGCAGCGACCGTGAGCGTTTCTCAATTCATTCACGCTCGCTCGCCTCCCACGCTCTGGCTATCACGCGCCTTGCGCGCACGAACTCGCTGCGTGCGAACGCGTGCAGAATAGCCCGTAAAACTTCACCGATCTACGGCTAGAGGGCGCCACTCAGCACAGCTGCACCGCTACATAGGTTACGAGCGCCCCTTGCGAGCGGCTCTTCCTCGGAAGCCCTTATGTCAACATCAATGCAATGAGCGTTGCCCGCAAGCCTCGCTAGCATCCCGAATCCCATTCACCAAATAAACGCCTCCACTGGCCCCCCAGGCAGGTCCCCGACAACACACACTGCCTATATTTAAACCGACTAAACAACTAAAATGGCGTGCGATGATAATTATATCATTAACTCTCTACCGTATATATACACAACATAGAACTAAATGTCGATTATAACATAATGACGTCGATAAACGGCTACGCGAGATCTCGCGAGATCTCGTCGCTTTCTCGATCTAGAAGGACACAGTTATGCTCGTCAGTTCGTTGATGAAACAATCGTCGATGAAACAAACGAATCTCAGATGGCGCTGGCAGCATCGCCACGGTAACTCCGCGAACAGTCACAACAAAGCGCTGCTCCGGTATTCACTATGGATATAACCTCTTGCTATACAGTAACAGTTCGCCGTGAACCTCTATATACAATAAAATCCGGCGGGAATTCGACGATATCGACTTATATATCACCCTCCCCCCGGTCCCTGTCTGTCGTAACATCAGTATATGCAAATGTAAATGAGTAGCCAGTGAAATGATCATTCGAATGTCTACGGAAACGCCCGACCGTCTCGCCCGTCACCCAGGTGGCGCCACGAACGAGAACAAATCAGGAGACGAAAAATGAAGAGGAAAATTTCAACGAGCGAGGCATCTGCGCGGATGTCAGCGCCACCTGCCGGAAAGATTTGGAAAATAACGGACGCGGGCCAACAAGGGGGACGTACGTGACGACAGCCGACGTGTAGAACCGTAAGACAAAGATATCGACGCAAACCTTCACAACGTCGGCGGACGCGTAAATAAGTAAATGCACGCAAGACCGCCAGGAGGCACCACCGCGGGCGACAACATCGAACACAACAAACAAATAGGGTTTGAAAATCTACAGCTACGACACGTGATAAATAAACTCCGACAACTCAACCTCTCGAAATGCGATAGTACACCTGCGCAGCCCTTACGCACGCACGCACGCACGCATGCGCGCACGCACGCATGCACGCACGCACGTAGGGGTCACGCACGCGCGCTGGATCACGCACGCGGGCGGCAGCGGCACCGCCACGCAAAAACCGGACCGAATAAATTAAAGTTGCCAAGAACCGGCGAGAGAGAGAACGCACGCGCGCGCACGCGCGCACGCACGCACGCACGCTACCATCGCGCCGCCGCAAAACGCCCACACCTCCTCCCCTACCTCCTCCCCCGCGCGCGCGCGACACCAGGAAACCGCCCCCCTGGCCGTCACCGCGGACATGACGACGACGACGACGACGACGACAAACGCCGACGCCGCGCGCTATATGTACACAACCGCCTATTATATATACACACACGTGGAAAAACCCCGCTCTTCGCACGGCTCTTCCTATCACAACAATCTGCTGCAGAGACTGAGATGACTAGGGCGGCCCCCTCCCCCTCCTCCCCGCACTCCTCCCCCTCCGCTCCTCCCCCTCCTCCGCGTCACTGCTTCAGGCGGCCCATCGGCGACGGCTTCTTGAAGGAGATCTGCAGCACGCGGTTGTTGAACGTGTACCCGTTCAGACTCTGTATCGCGATGAGCGCCTCGTCGTAGTTGGTCATCGTGACGAAGCCGAAACCCTTGCACTTCTGCGTGTTTGGGTCGCGGATAACCTTCACGTTCTGCACGGCGCCGAACGGGCCGAACAGCTGCCACAGCGAGCTCTCCTCTGTCTCTGGAGCGAGGTTGTAGACGAAGATGCACCAGCCGGTCGCGGCCTGCACGCCAGCCGTGATCAGCGGACTCGTCGTTAGCGGGTCCGGCGCCGTCGCGATCGGCGAGAACCTGTAGAGGGAGCCACGCGTCAGTAACGGACCGTTATCAGTGTAGGAGGAGCTAGTGTCAGTAATACTTTAGAGAGAGAGAGCCAGCGTCACTAACACGTGGGAGCAGGAGTACAGGGCGCGAGTGTCAGTAACGGGCGGTAATATGATGTAAACACTGTGACGTATATCATACATACATCATACATCATACATCATACATCATACATCATACATCATACATCATACGTCATGACGTCATACATCGTGGGCGTAACGTGTAGTAACGCCAGGGTTAGTAACGTACGTGTTGTAGACACTGTAGGAGGAGCCAGGGTCAGTAATCCTGGAGAGGGAGCCACCGTGAGGAATACCGTAGGGGGAACCAGCGTCAGTAATGCGAGGCGAACACTGTAGGGGGAGCCAGGGTCAGTAATACGATTTGAACACTGTAGAGGGAGCCAGCGTCAGTAACGGGCAGTAGACATTGTAGGGGGCACTAGGGTCAGTGTAGTATAATAACGTCGCATATTTATGATATTTTTTTTTAAAGTTTGGTAGGGTGAGAGCAGGAGGAGCAAGAAGTAAGTGGAGAAGACTCATTCCTATCGGCCCTCCCCGCCGTATATACATTACGTTGATATACGCTCATAATTGCATTTTAGACGAACTACAGATTTTTCCCCTCGCAATTTAATTAGCCTTTGCTTCATCGCTATCGGCTATCATCGTGAGAGACTGCCGAAAACGTATCAGCTTTCGCAAATTATTCAGTGCAAATAGTCAAACGCAATTGCGCGGATGAAGGGTCGGGTGAGCTTATTACAAGCCACGAGGTAATAATAATTCGAGTCCTAATCATAAATAGGAGCGGCGATAACCAGGGCCGGATTAGAGATTAATATCCGGGCGAATAGTGGGCAGCTAGTGCTAATTAGCAGAATGAAATCCACCGCTCTGACACCTCCCGTGACGTCAGCGCGTGACGTCAGCGCGACCTCCCAGCGGCTCTCACGTCACCGCTTAAAGGCACCGTATGGATGTGCGCCTAGAGTCGAGGTCGCGTCAAGGTCACGTGTGAGGTTGCGTTGAGGTCACGTGTGAGGTCGCGTCGAAGTCGCTTCAAGGTCGCGTTAAGGTCACGTTGAGGTCACGTGTGAGGTTGCGTTGAGGTCACGTGTGAGGTCGCGTCGAAGTCGCTTCAAGGTCGCGTTAAGGTCACGTTGAGGTCACGTGTGAGGTTGCGTTGAGGTCACGTCGTGGTCACATCGAAGTCGCGTGGAGGTCATGTCAAGGTCACGACGGGGTCGCGTGGAGGTCACGTCGAGGTCGTGCTAAAGTCACGAGGTCAGAGACTAACGCGGTGATGCGCGTGCCGCTCTGCGATCCGTTGTCACGGCAACCGCGACGTAGACATTCGTGCATCACTCATGCTCACCCCGTGCCTTCACGAATCTCAGCAAACATAACCACGACGTTAAACCAACAACCCCTCTCTACCAACTCACCCTAACACACTATCGACCAGCGAAAAATAGTCAATAAATCATCAAACATAGCCACGACATCAACGACCTTCAACCACCTCACCCTAACAGACTATCAACCGGCGAAAATAGTCAATAAATGATCGAAAATCAACCGTTAATCAATTAAACGACATTCTGCCCCTACCGGGCCCCGTCCCCTTCACCCCAACACACACATTCTGCATGCCCACAACAGTCGAGCGAACGAGGTAAGTAAAGAAATTGCGAAGTTGGGCGTGACCGCGACTACGACGACCGGTGGCACCACCCATGCACACGGCGCGGTCGCGATCACGCGCAACAACAAGAGAACGCTAGCAGAAGCAAAACGAGCGGAGCGCGCGCACGCTCGGGTGGGAGATGCACGCCATGGCAACCCAACCCCAACGCACACTCAGGCGGGTGGCAACGTGGCAACCACCTCCACCTCCCCCGCACGCTAGGGCGGGGGGGCGGGCGCCACTGCAACCCCCACCCGACGCACGCTCAGGCAGGGGGCGCCACCGCGGCAACCTCCCCCTCCCCCGCACGCGCGCGCGCGCGCTCCGCTCGGAGCAACGAAACAAAACAGCAGCCGTTCGCCCCCTAAACGATTTCACAAGAAGCGAGATCTCGGAAGAAAGCGAATTCTCGTGAGACCTGGGCGCGAGTAGCGGCGACGACGCGACCGTGAACTCCGACCTGAATCGGCCGCCGGGCGCGGCGTGGTGGTGCATCGGTCCCGGAGCGATGCTCGGCAGAACGACGCTGCGCCGCGACAGCGACGCCGCCTGCACCGCGGCCGTCGCCGACAGGTAGGCGGTCGTCAGCGGGAAGAAGGCCTTCACGTTCGTCGTCGGCGTGTTCGCGAACTTGACGGTGATCGGGTCCTTGGCGCCGTCCGGCACGGTGCCGTCCAGCTTCTGCACGGCGGACTCGGCCTCGCAGCGCTGGTCGTAGCGCACGAACGCGACGCCCTTCGACAGACCTGCAACGAGGCGGCGCCACCGGTCAGTGCTCTGTGATGCAGATGTAGAATATTATTGTGTAAATAGTTATGATATATATTATCTATAATATTATATATAATACATATATATGATATATAAATATATATATATACATATATTATAATCATAGGTGACGCCCTTTGACTGCTGCAACGAGGGGGGGGGGGCCACCGGTGAGCGATCGTAATGGGGTAAGGGGAGGGGTGACATATGACGCAGATGTATGAGGTCCTCTTTTATCCACAATACACTTCGATGGGTCTGAGGTCTGAACGCATACCTATATAAATTTGTATGATAAATATTATGATATATATGTGTATATATCAGTCGGTGAAATGCTGCGCCCTTCTATGGCTCTAATAATATATAACTTATATAGCTTCGTAGCTATTAATACATGTGTTATTAACTCTTGATATAGTATATATCTATATCTATATATATATAAATAAATAAATATATATATATATAGTGATTCACTGGGAGACTCAGTGCTGTGACGCGGTACGTACTAAATCAATGAGTGAAACGATGATGGATGATGTGTGTAGTAAGATTGACTATGAAACCTCACATATGAGGTAACACGCACGTACACTACTGAAACAAGAGTATTGCAACCGCACCGTTGTTATCTAACCGTAACTGTGGCACGAAGGGTCGTTGTCGTATAGAGTAGTACAAATATGTACCCGAGGTAATTATCTGATACGGTTAGGGTTAGGGTTTAGGGTTAGGGTTAGGATTAGGGTTAGGGAGTAGGCGTAGGCGACATACTCGCCGACACCTCGGGTACTACATATATACGACAACGACCCCTTCAGCGTGACTGCGTTATAACTTGAGAATTTAAGCATAATGATGCCGTAAATATGTAATAACGTCAACGCGAATGCAGATTTTCCCATCAACTTTACACGTTATCAATGCTATTGATATGCTAGCTAGCGTAAATCAAATTAGTCCCTCCGTCTTCGATATAGTCCCTTGGACGTTGAAGACTATAATATTTACGAGGTGAATTACGAGGTAACACTAGCCTATACTTATTAGTGCAAATATGGCGTCGCAACTTTTACGCGATATAAAACACACATCATAAAACTGTACTATAATCAAAACGCTATAACTACAACATTACAACTACCACGAGGCAGTACATCTTAACTACTACACAGTGCACGAACGCAATGCTATATTAACCACAGTTACAACAGCTGTACATGCTACAGAGCGTTTTATAACTGATGTCAGTAGCTTACGCATACACTAATGGCCTATCCATTTGAGAGAGCAGCTGGCAGGAAAATTGCCATGTCAAATCTACACCTGTTACCATGTTTTATGTCTAGTCTGAGAGATACCTACTGTGTCTGTTTTTGCTTTTACATCAATTTTTTAATCCATGCCTGTGACTGCTGTCATGTCTTTGATTGTTTTTATAATTTTGACGGCTGTCATGTCCGTGTGTGTGTGTTTGCTATCGTGCGTGTATGTGTCTGTGTATGTGTATGTGTCTATTTGCTTGTCTATACTGCTATCTCTGTATGTGTCTGCTGCGTATTACTGTGTCGGTGTTTGTTGCTGTATCCGTTTCCATGTATGTGTATCTGTATCCTCGTATGTGTCTGTGTGTATCTGTATATGTGTCCGTGCTTTCATCTGTGTCTGCGTCAGTGCACATATGTCTGTGTATACATGTCTGCTACCGTAGATCTGTCTACGCTCTGGCTGCTTCCATGCTTGTGTCTGCTGCCACAGACCTGTGTCCCATACGCCCCAAGCCACACCTCAACCACACACGAACCACTCTGTGTCCCCCCGCCCACCACCAACTCATGCGCTCAAGCTCCTCTGTTAACTCTCCCCTAGCTCTAGAACTATAGCCCTTCGCTCTGCCACAGTCAGAGAACTATAGCCCTTCGCTCTGCCACAGTCAGAGAACTATAGCCCTTCGCTCTGCCGCATGAGCCAACTGAGCTCTAGTTCTCCGACTGTGGCGGAGCGAAGGGCTATAGTTCTCCGACAGTGGCGGAGCGAAGGGAGATAGTTCTAAAGTTAACTCTCCTACCTGACACGTTGTCGCAGAGCAGGCGGCAGGTGATGATGTGACCGAATGGATCGAACATCTTTTCGACTCCGTCCTGCGACATGTACTTGGGCAGGCCGGACACGTACAGGTTCGCCCCCTGGATGGCGTCGCTGCTCGGCCGCGCGAACGACACCTGGTGGCCAAAACGGGAAGCTTGGCATTATGGATGTCTAATGACGTCACTGATCGCGCGTCGAATTGTTTTTTTTGTTTTTTTTTGCTTTTAGCGTTTATAGCATTTCCTTAAGCCGATTTGTTCTTTTAGCATTTGTCTTTTTTCTCGATTGATTTGATTGAATTGAATGATTTGATGCGATTGAGATGAGACGTTTCTGTGTGATTGACTCTTTCTGAGTACTACCCTTCCACATCGTTCCGACCTTAATGCGGTGATATCTGCTTCTTTTATCGACGCTGCTGGCATTATAAGGGGCGAAATAAAGTTGAACAAAGATGAATGTAGATATTATTATTCATATACACGCACGCGCGCGCACACATGCATGCAATCACGAATACACACACACGCACACACACACACACACACACACACACACACACACACACACACACGCACGCACGCACGGTGCACGCACGCACGGCCACGCACCAGCACGCATACACCACACACACACACACAACACACACACACACACACACACCCTCTCACACACCACGCTTGATCCAACTAATGGACGCACTCGCATACAATCCGTACCTTAATAGTTTTGTTCTGTAGTTTGAGTACCATTTAATAGTTCTGGATAGCTCTTGCTGCATCGTCCTGCCTTTGCATAGTTTACAAATCATATCCTAAGACTGCACTCCACCAAACCCCCTCAAAACACACACACGTAAGATAAAGAAAGAAACCTTGGTAAAAAACCCCAACAGCAAAGATCATTACTCCATCACATTCTCTCAGTTCTCTTCTCGCTCCCTAGTTATCCGTCTCGTCTCTCTCTCTCTCTGCTCTTCTCTCTCTCTCTCTCTCTTCTCTCCTCTCTCTCTAATAATATATATATATATATATATATATTATATATATATATATATGTGTAAGATAAACATGCACAAATGCAGCACAAAGCTACACCCACACGTATACCCAGCACTCAGTATAATAGACACGCACGCACGCACGCCACGTCACGCCACATACGCACGCACTGCACGCACGCACGCACGCACGACACGCACGCACGCACGCCCCGCACGCACGCATGAATTGTACGACATTCTACAGTTGCACGTATCAGTCATTATTGATGGTTTGTTCATCGCAGAGTTTTTATCTTCGACCGCCACCGCAGCGCCCACCGGAGACGAGACCGAGAGAGAGAGGGAGCGAGAGAGAGAGAGTGAGAGAGAGAGATGAGAGAGAGAGAGAGAGAACGCGAGAAAAGAGAGAAAGAACGGCGAGAGAGAGAGAGTGTGTGAAGAGGGAGAGAAAGCGAGCGAGCGAGAGAGAGAGAGAAATATATGCGAAGAGGAAAGAGAGAAAGAGAGATAGGAGAGAGAGAGAGATGAGAGCGAGAGAGAGCGAGCTCCAGACTAATTGTGCACTCAGCCAATAGTTGACAGTTATCGCTATTAAATACCGCAACCATTAGCTGGGTCTATCTCGCAACCGATGCAGCTTCTACTAATGGCAGCAGCACTAATAAATAATTGTGTGGGCGAGGAGCGCGCAAGAGAGAGAGAG